TGTGTTATGAATCATATTGTGTTCTCTTTGTCTATCCCTTGGATCCCATCTGTTTAGCCTTAGGAATACTTCCATCTATAGGAGTTCCTCCAAAACACCCTGTAGAGGTGGTTTATGGGAGGTAAATTCTCCCAACTTTTTCTTATCTGAAAATTGTTTAATCCCTCCTCCAAATTTAAATGATAACCTTGCCGGCTATAGTATTCTTGGTTCAAGGCTCTTCTGCCTCATTGCATTAAATGTATCTTGCCACTACCTTTCAGCCTGTAAGGTTTCTGTTAAGAAGTCTGATGATAGCCTGATGGGTTTTCCTTTATATGTGATCTTTTTTCTCTCTCTAGGTTCTTTTAAAAGTCTGTCTTTATCCTTGATCTTTGCCATTTTAATTATTATATGTCTTGGTGTTGTCTTCCTTGGGTCCCTTGTGTTGGGAGATATGTGCACCTCCATGACTTGAGATACTATCTCCTTCCCCAGATTGGGGAAGTTTTCAGCAATTACCTCCTCAGTGACACTTTCTATCCCTTTTTCTCTCTCTTCTTCTTGTGCCACTACAGCACGAATATTGTTCCATTTGGATTCATCACACAGTTCTCTCAATATTCTTTCATTCTTGGAGATTTTTTTTTCTCTTTGTACCTCAGCTTCTTTGTATTCCTCTTCTGTAATTTCTATCCCATTTACGTCTCTTCTACTACATCTAGTCTGATTTTAAATCCCTCCATTGTATGTTTCATTTCAGATATGGAATTTCTTAATGATTGAATCTCTGACTTAAATTCATTCCTGAGTTCTTGAATATTTTTCTGTAGTTCCATCAGCATGTTTATGATTTTTATTTTGAACTCTCTTTCAGGCAGATTGGTGAGCTTAGTTTCATTTGACCCATTTTCTGGAGTTTGTGAGATTTTGGTCTGCACAATGTTCTTTTGACGTTTCATATTTCTGTGTGGTGCCCACTAGTGCCCAGAAGCTCCAGTCTCTGGAGCTGCTCAGCCACTAGAGTGAGGGTAGGGGTCATAGGGGAGCAGAGCTAGTGCCTGAGGTGAGGAAAGATCTGTTTCCTGATTCCCGTCTGGATTGCCTGTCTCCGATGTCAAGAGCCAGTGGGTGGAGCACACAGGTGAAAGCCTCTGTGCTTTGCCTCTCTTGCTGTTGTAGGCAGGGCCCCCCCTTGACTGGCTTGATGCCAGCACAGTGACTGCAGGTTTGTGAACTGGTGTTGGCAGGCCAGGAGGAAGGCACAGCAGGCTGCGTGTCACAGTGGGGGGCCTCCGAGCTGAGTAGGCAGCCAGGGGGATGGGGCGCCTGAAGCTCCTCAGTGTTCCCAACCAGCTGGACAGAGCACGCCCAGACAACGTTGTCCACTTCTCCCGTCCCCTGCACAGCAAGCTCTGTGCAGACTCCGCTCCTTCAGCAGCCCTCTCGCTGCTAGGATGCCTCTCAGACCGCCTGCCTTTCCTTTGTCCCAGAGCGGCCGGGTGTGGATCCCCTCCTCCACAAATGGCCGGAATCTGTCTCTCTATCACTCCACCTGTCTACACTCCCAATGTCCAGATCACCACACAGTGTAGGTTTCTGCTCCCAAAGCAGACCTCCAGGGCTGGGTGCTCAGCAGTTCCAGGCTTCCACCCCCTCCTCTGCTCCATTTCTCTTCCTCCCGCCGGTGAGCTGGGGTCAGGGAGGGCTTGGGTCCCGCCTGATTATGGCTTTCGTACATTACCCTGTTTTGTGAGGCCTGCCCTGTTCAAGAGGTCTGTATGCAGTCTGGTTCAACCTTCTTTCTTGTTGTTTTAGGGTTAGTTGTATCAGTTAACTGCATTTTCATACTATGTGTGGTTTTGGGAGGAATTCTCCAATCTCACCTCTCACGCCACCACCTTGAATCCAAGGTGCTTAATTCTTATAGGTAAATTGAAAGCAAGGTTAATTTCATAGGTTTCACATATGTTTGTAAATTGTGAGGAGAGAGGACCATTTTAGATAGGATATCAGGGAAGATTCTGAAAGGATGAGATTTGAGTGGAAACCTGGATTAATTGAGGGAATATGACCCATCGGAAGGTCCAGAGGAAGAGCAGATAAAACAGTAAGTGTAAGGTAGTGAGGGTGGAAAGAAGTTTAGTTCTGGAATGGCCAAGAAAACCAGTGTAGCCAGAGCAGAGTGAGCAAGGCACTTCGGATCAGTGATCTGACTATAGACAAGGGAACATCTTAAGCTTTCTTCTTTCCCCACTAGCATGTAAGTTCCATGAACATAGTTACTTTGTTTTTACTAGAGTGTATCCACAGTGCCTAAAAGAGCTTCTGGCACATAATCGGCCCTTTTAAATCTTTGTTAAATTACTGAATGGTGTAATCTGGATTATACAGTATACAAAGAATCAGGACAATTTCCATAATATTCCTTATTTTCTTAAGAAATACATATTTACTTATTGAAGTTGCCATTCAGTTATGTACACACATAGTCCTAATTATCCAAGAGTGCTTTTTAATTTCAAAAGTACTTGCTACTAATGCAAGTGGAAATATTTTAGCTAAAAATGTAAAGAACCAGTCTCGTAACAAAACATGTAATGACTCGATCACTTAACATTTTTTTCTGAATAAAGTTTATATATAGCTTATATAATTTTATTCAAATTAGGCAAAAATTAGAGAAAAATTAGAAAGCTAATAGGGAAAATAAAATCATAATTTCCATTAAAAAGTATTATGCATATTTTAATATATTTCCATCTTGACTTTATGTAGACATGTTACTGAAAAATTATTTTTTACTCTGTCTTTTTCATATTTCCCTAAACTGATTGGGACTGAGAGATGTTAGCCTCCCTCTGTTTCCCCTTTGTCACGGATAAATTCTAATCACATACCTCTGTATTTGGTGTGGCCACACTTGCCCTTGGGTCTACTTATAATGGCTTTTGAATGTCAATTCAGAACAGCCTAATAGATTACAACAGGGGAGGTTCATCATTTGCCCCATGGCCCACTGTTAACTCTAGTACTTGACTTATGTAATTAGTATATTTAGATTGTGTAAGACCCTCTTAAACGTTGGTTTGCATGAAATTCACATCTTCTTTGGGCCCTTTCTAGTAGCAATTTTTAAACAGCATCTTCACTTTCTTATACTGGTATAAGGTTTCTCCCCACTGTAAGCTTCATGAAGGTAGAAATTTTTGTGTTTTCGTAACTGCTACAACTGTAACAACCTCTAACAGTACCTGAAATGTGATAAATACTCAGTATTTGTTGAATGAAGAAATCAGAAGTAATGAAAGCATGAATGAATAAATTAATTTTTAAAGTTAAAAGCAAATGATTCCATCATTTTAAAATTTTGGACTTTTATTATTTTAAGTGTTACAAATTTTTTTCTTGTCAGTGTTGTAGTTGAGGCCAATTTATGTATATTTACACTTTTATAGGGATATGTACTCTAATCTGCCTCTCTAGAATGTGTGTTAATTTTTTTCTTTATTCTCAAACACTTTTTCTTCAATTAAGGCAGTATAATTACTCATTGATCACCTGTTTATTAAATCTGTATCCGTGGTACACTTCCTAGGAGCAAGAAGTTATTTTATTTGTATACATTAGAATAAGCCTTTGACTAGTTAAATACAACTTCCTGGCTTAACACATGGCAGTTTCCATTTAGAACTTAGGTTCTCATCTGTGGAATCAGTAGTGAATATAGAAAATCATTTTCTCTGGGAGTTTCTACCAAAAAATAGGATTATAGTATTTGTAAGACTGTGTAAATCTTAAATCAAGATATTCTTAGTCTTACAGTTTCTAATACCTGCAAAGTGATGTATGTTCTTCAGTTGTTAGTAAGCTGAGTTAATTGATTCTTAAGGTTTTCCCATATCAAGCTGATTTGGAAAAGGATATTATTCCAGTCCAAAATTATTCAAAACTATGACTTTTGTATCATTGCTCCTATGCAAAGGTTTGAGGTAGCATTTGCTCATTTGCTCTTCTACCATTCTTTTCATATTTAACAGCACTTCTTAGGTTTTTATGTTAGTGAGGTGAAGAGTTACACACTCATGACTGCTATTGTGCTACAAATCAGGGAGTCTCTTGGAGATCATTCAGAAACATTCTTTGATCTTGTAATATCATTTTTTGAAATCTACTTCTGGGAAAACAACCCTAGGAAAAGAAACCTTCAGCAGCTTTTACTGAAACGTTTAGAGTGATTCTATAAACGTTTGGAACTGTGTATAGAAAACAGTACTGAAAAAAATGAACAACATAAAATAATACATACACACGTGTTACCTCTGTTAAAAAGGGGAGGTATGTTTGTGGATAGGGATTGGAAGAGACAATGCAAAAGAATTATGTGACTTACCTTAAGTTTGTGGAATTTTTTTCAGGTAAAGATGTTTAAATATACAGTTGACCTTTAAACAACATGAGTTTGAGCTGTGCAGGTTCACTTATACATGGATTTTTTTCAATAACTACATTGGAAATTTTTTGGAGATTTGCAACAATTTGAAAAACTGTTTTCTCTATCTTACCTTATTTTAAGACTACAGTATCTAATATATAGAACATACAAACTATGTGTTAATTGACTATATATGTTATTGGTATGGCTTCCAGTCAACAGTAGGCTATTAGTGCCTAAGTTTTTAGAGGGTCAGAAGTTATAAGCAGTTTCTCAACTATGTGGGGGTCAACACGCCTAACCCCCTGCATTGTTCAAGGGCCAACTATAAAATAAAAATCCAACCATTAGAACAAATAACAGTAAGTAAAGTTTATTTAAATTTGAAAAATGCTTGAAAATGGACAGTATAAATACATACATACATGCAAATTAATAAAATAACATAGATACTGAAAATTCTAGATGTCATACTTGAGGGAAAAAACATAGTAATTAGGAGAAGAGGACAGTCTGAATTCTGAAGCATACCAGTTGCCAAGTAAAGCATGTTTCTAACAAATACTGTGTAACTTTACTCTCATAGGCGAAAGAGTGTGGCCAGATGCAGAATAAGTGGCTGATGATAAACATTCAAAATGTACAAGACTTTGCATGCCAGTGCCTCAACCGTGATGTATGGAGCAATGAAGCTGTGAAGAATATAATACGGGAACATTTCATTTTCTGGCAGGTGCGAAGGAGATGTTAGTCAAAATTTTTGTAGTATTTTATTTTGTAGTATGGGTTGTTGGGAAGGAGGAATTAAGGTATAAACTGTAAAAAATTAATGACTGAGTTAAATTATGACATATAAAAAAATTAAATCACCCATAGTGGCTGAAATAGTGAGGGCAAGTGAAGGTAAGGGCAGCAATAAAGAACTCCCAAGGGAAGGAGGAAAAAAGAACCAAGCCATGTAAACCATATAAAAGAGTTTAAATGTCTTAATATAATGTATGGCTGTACTGTTCAATAGAAATATAATGAGCCACATATGTAGTTTAAAATTTTCTAGTAGCCACATTTAAAAAGGTCAAAAGAAGTATGTGGAATTAATTTTAGTATATTTTAAAAACTAGCATATCTAATATAAAACTAATATTAAAATATTAATGACATGTTTTGGTGTTAAGTTTTCAAAGATCTGTTGTATATTTTATACTTGTATTACAGCTCAGTTTGGACTAGCCATAATTCAAGTGCTTCAGAAGCACATGTTCTAGTGGCTACTGTAATTTACAGTACAGATGTGGAAGTTCCTAGAGTAAGGAAAAATGTTTGACTACTTGAATTTTAGCTTGAGTTTGATACTCTTTGACTATATTACCTTAGACTTATCACTTAGTTTTGCTGGCTGTAGTTTCTTTTTATATAAATTATTGAGCTCAGTCAGATGAACTTGCTCCAATTTTTTATTTAATGAAAAATTATAGAAAATAACTTCTGAATGAACTTAATTCTGTATAAGATAAGCTATTAATGTTATTAATTTGCCTGTTCATGTTTTATAGGTCCCTAAGTTGATTTTGATTTTTTTCTGAAAAATTTTTTCAGCAACTGTTTTATTCAGCAACTATTGATTGAACATTTCTTTGCTTAGCACTGTGCTAAGCACTCAAGCTTAACAGTCTAATAGATTGTGATTTATTAGCATGTGTATCATTGAGAGTCAGGAATGACATATATAAGTTTCCAGAAGGGACTGAGGCTAGGAAGTTGAGGGAGTTCACATCAGATGACTTTCAATTTCTCTTTAACATGTGAGTGATATACTAATATACACAAAACGTATATTTGGAGAATTGGTCGCTACTGGTATAACAAAGATATCATTGGTACTTTTTCACAAGCTGACTCTTGTTTTTGTTTTTGTTTTTCTTAATGTATTAATGGTTTATAGGTGTATCATGACAGTGAGGAAGGTCAGAGATACATACAGTTTTATAAGCTAGGGGATTTCCCCTATGTTTCCATCTTGGATCCGCGGACAGGTAAGATTTATACCAGCTTACAGCCTTTAATCTATCATTTCTTTCAGTTACCCAAATGATTGCTGCCTAACATTTGACTGAATCTAGTTTCAGAATTGTTTATAATTTAGATGAAGGTTTCTTCTTCATGCCCCATAGATTAAACATCTATTGAAGTGTGTGTTTAGGCAGTCTGTTTCTGAAAACTTTGAGAAATGGCAGTTTATTTGTGCAGTTCTGTTCTTTCAAAGAATAATTGTTTACCATTCTTTTCATTTTGTAAGGAACCCCTTTAGGTTGTCTATTATTAATATATTAAGATTGTTCAGGTACTGGTTGTAGTCCTACCAGAGAAGCAGAGGGTAGAGCTGGTTTTATTATTAATTGAGTTTTACATAGGTATTGCTTTACCTGAATCTCTTCTTCCTAAATGGCATTAAGTGATATTAGCAGATAAAATAGTTGCCTTATCATGACAGCTGGGAATCTCTTAGGTTGGTTATAATTAATCTATCATTTAGGTTAAAAGACACTATGTAACGAGGGGCGGGGATATGTGTTTCTAGTAAATTTTAATTATTCATATATGTGAAAAGAAACGAGAATGTTCAGAAAGGGTGTTGATTTTGTTATATATGCTGGTTTTTAATCTTCAGGTCAGAAGCTAGTAGAGTGGCACCAGTTAGACGTATCTTCTTTCTTGGACCAAGTGACAGGATTTCTGGGTGAACATGGGCAACTGGATGGACTTTCTAGCAGTCCCCCGAAAAAATGTGCCCGTTCAGTAAGTATGACTAAGAAGTGGTGATAGGCAGTTAAGTGTGATTGTATATAAGTGTCTTTTGTAAAATATTTGAGGTTAAGATGGTAAAGATAACACTGCAAGTAGTGGACAGTTATAATTTGTGGCCATACATCTTGGATACCCTCATGTTTTGATAATTTGATATTGTTTGTATCTTCTCAATGAAAAGAGGCTGCTGTCTTCTCAATATGGTTCTATGGTTCTATCTTCTCAGTAAAATCGTAAGCTTCATTTTTCCAATCTTCCTTGAGGCTAGGTTACAGGCATGTGACCTAAGACCTGTGTTTAGTAGTAAACAATATGAATATATAGCAGTGAACAGGAGGACTGATCTGACAAGCCTGGTGACAGAGGAATCCACTTCTCAGAGTCAGCATTGCTAGGACTTATATCCAGGTTTAAGCAGCAATGGAAATGTTGATTTTGGTAGACATCTTTCATGGCATAGTTGGGCATTATTGCTGGTTATATGTGTTTGGGACCTGGCTCTCTGGCCCACCCAGAGATTATTTATACTTAATTTCTGTAATATGCTATTACTAGGCAGACCTATTTGATAATTGGTATCAAGATTAGTTGCATGTGAGAAACTTTCAAAGATACAGGAATGTCAACACTGGTTGTAGGACCTGTTTGGTTTTGATGGCAATGAGAATAGAATTAGTTTTAGTTAGAAGATGTGGCATTGGGAACTCATATCATGCAGTGATAAAACTATTCCTTAAGTTATCACCTAGAATAAAGTGCCCATGGACACTAAAGGCTATGGGTACTTGCCAAGGTGTGGTACAGAATTCTTTTTTTTCCCCCCATTACTCAGAGTTTTATTTAGGTGGACACAGTGCAAAACTAAAACATTGTTTTATCTTTATCAATAGACACAATTGTTTTTTTGCTTTGTTTTGGTTTTTTTTCCATTACTCAAAGAAGTTTTAGTTGTGTAGAATTCTTTTTTAATGCATGAAAAAAGCCAGAGAGTTCCTGTAATTGCTGGAAGATAGTTCCTTATCTCTTGTAGACATAAGGCTGATACTGTCAAAAACTAGAGCCTGAGTTTGAGTTGCTGAATTATAACATATAGTGTCTTTACAATCTTGCCCGGTCTCTTACAGTAAAAGTTAAGGCACTTGGTGGAAAAGAGTGAGACTGTAAAACGGGACAAATGCATAGGGATGATTTGGGTAATGTACCTTAGATCCCTACTTCTGATACTAAGTTCTTTGAATGTTATAAATTTTGATCAAATTGTGTAAAAGAAACACCAACAAGTAATGGCTTAAACAGGATATCTTCTTTTCTCAACAAGAAGATCAGAGGCAAACAGTGTAGGATATTGTCAAGGAAACCAGGTTCTTCCTCTTTTCCCCCCTTCCATCCTGAGTATTGGCTTATGTCCTCACAGTTTCAGTATAGGTGCTGCGCTCCCAGGTATCATATCCAAGCATGGACAAAGAAGAAGGGGGTGGTGCTTCTGTTACGAAGGCAAATAGCTCCAGATAAGAGTTCTGCTTATTTTACCTAGGCACATTTTCTTGCAGAAGTTTTTACGAGATTTTATGTTCTATTAATTAAGGTTCTGTTGATAAGGAAGCAATGAAGATTGGGTGTGAAATAGGAAATGAGCAATGTGTCCTCATAGTGTTATTTAAAATGAGCTTACGGTACACACTGTTATTATCTGCAGTCAACCCAAGCCATTGCATGTCATGGGGTACATCTGTTTGCTTTTGTGTGTGTGTGATAAATTAGGCTTAAGTTTATTTTCATCTTAAAAATTTTACAGCTGTATTGAAGTTAAGTAATGTGCAGTAAACAACCTACTTAAATTTGCAATTTTGCAAGTTTTGTTAAGGGCATCTTTTCATGTGTTTTTTTTTGTTACCTCTTGGTGAAAGTCTTTTCAGATCTCTGGCTCATTTTTTATTGGATTGTAAAGGTTCTTTTTATATTCCAGATATAAGTCCTTTGTTGTATATGTGGTTTGCAGAAATTTTCTCCCAGTTTGTTGCTTGCTTATGCATTTCTTCTGAAGAGCATATTTCAAAATTTTGATGAAATCCAATGTATCGTCTTCTTTTATACTTTGTGCTTTTTGTCTTATCTAAGAAATCCTAGCCTACCCCAAGGTTTTATCCCATGTTTTTTATAATTTTAACTCTTAAGTCAGTGATCCACTTGAAATTAATTTTTGTATATGCTGTTAGGGTAGGGTCAAGTCGGGGTTTTTTGTTTGCATATGGCTGGCTTTATACTTGTTTCTAGCTACTGTTTGCACCAGTTGTAAAGATTATCCTTTCTCGATTGAATTGCCTTTTTACACCTTTGTGGAAAATTGATCACGTATGAGTGGATTTGCAGACTCTGTTCTTTCCAGTGATTGATGTCTTTCTTTACACCAGTATTTCACTGTCTTGATTACTGTAGCTTTGTAAGTCTTGAAACACTTAGTGTAAGTCCTCTAGGTTCTTTATTCTCTACAGTTGCTTTGGTTATTTTGGGTGTTTAGTATTTCCATATGTGTTAGAATCAGATTGTCACTATCTACAAAAAAAATTGCTGGGGCTTTCATTGAAGTTGCATTGGCTCTATGGATCATTTTGGAGAGAATGACATCTTAACAATATTGAGTCTTCAGATCTATGAGCATGGCATGTATCTTTCTATTTATTTAAGTCTTGAATTTCTCTCAGCAGTGTTTTGTAGTTTTTATAAATTGATCTTGTAGGCTGCAGCCTTGCTAAATTCACTTACTTGTTGTAGGTTTCTTAGAATTTTCTTTATAGATGGTCATGTTATGAGAAAATAAAGACTTATTTCACTTCTTCCTTTCCAGTCTCTGTGTCTTTTATTTCTTTTTCTTAGCAAAGACCTCTAGTACAAAGTTAAATAGAACGGAAATTGGACATCCTTAACTTGTTACTGGTGTTGGGGTGAAAGTAGTCTTTCACCATTAAGTTCGATGTTAGCTGTATGTTTCTTATAATTTATCAGGTTGAAGTTCTATTTCTAGTTTGCTGAGTTTTTTATCATGAGGGGATTTTATCATGATTAATTTGTTGAGGTGATTATATAGTTTACTTTTTTCTTTTTTTAATAATTATTTTCTTTATTATCAAATGTACATCACAGTAGTTGAACAGTCCCCCTCCATCCCCCCTGCCCCTACCTACTGTCCTCCCCCTTGGTAACCACTAGTCACTTCTCAGTGTTTGTGACCCTAATGCTATTTTGTTCCTTATGCTTTGCTTTGTTTTTATTTTCCACAAATAAGTGAGATCATCTGGTATTTGTCTTTTACCACCTGGTTTATTTCACTGAGTATAATACCCTCTAGATCCATCCATGTTCTTGCAAATGGCAGGGTTTCTTTTCTTTTTATGGCTGAGTAATATTCAGTTCTTTGAATGTTATAAATTTTGATCAAATTGTTTAAAAGAAACACCAACAAGTAATGGCTTAAACAGGATATCTTCTTTTCTCAACAAGAAGATCAGAGGCAAACAGTGTAGGATATTGTCAAGGAAACCAGGTTCTTCCTCTTTTCCCCCCTTCCATCCTGAGTATTGGCTTATGTCCTCACAGTTTCAGTATAGGTGCTGCGCTCCCAGGTATCATATCCAAGCATGGACAAAGAAGAAGGGGGTGGTGCTTCTGTTACGAAGGCAAATAGCTCCAGATAAGAGTTCTGCTTATTTTACCTAGGCACATTTTCTTGCAGAAGTTTTTACGAGATTTTATGTTCTATTAATTAAGGTTCTGTTGATAAGGAAGCAATGAAGATTGGGTGTGAAATAGGAAATGAGCAATGTGTCCTCATAGTGTTATTTAAAATGAGCTTACAGTACACACTGTTATTATCTGCAGTCAACCCAAGCCATTGCATGTCATGGGGTACATCTGTTTGCTTTTGTGTGTGTGTGATAAATTAGGCTTAAGTTTATTTTCATCTTAAAAATTTTACAGCTGTATTGAAGTTAAGTAATGTGCAGTAAACAACCTACTTAAATTTGCAATTTTGCAAGTTTTGTTAAGGGCATCTTTTCATGTGTTTTTTTTTGTTACCTCTTGGTGAAAGTCTTTTCAGATCTCTGGCTCATTTTTTATTGGATTGTAAAGGTTCTTTTTATATTCCAGATATAAGTCCTTTGTTGTATATGTGGTTTGCAGAAATTTTCTCCCAGTTTGTTGCTTGCTTATGCATTTCTTCTGAAGAGCATATTTCAAAATTTTGATGAAATCCAATGTATCGTCTTCTTTTATACTTTGTGCTTTTTGTCTTATCTAAGAAATCCTAGCCTACCCCAAGGTTTTATCCCATGTTTTTTATAATTTTAACTCTTAAGTCAGTGATCCACTTGAAATTAATTTTTGTATATGCTGTTAGGGTAGGGTCAAGTCGGGGTTTTTTGTTTGCATATGGCTGGCTTTATACTTGTTTCTAGCTACTGTTTGCACCAGTTGTAAAGATTATCCTTTCTCGATTGAATTGCCTTTTTACACCTTTGTGGAAAATTGATCACGTATGAGTGGATTTGCAGACTCTGTTCTTTCCAGTGATTGATGTCTTTCTTTACACCAGTATTTCACTGTCTTGATTACTGTAGCTTTGTAAGTCTTGAAACACTTAGTGTAAGTCCTCTAGGTTCTTTATTCTCTACAGTTGCTTTGGTTATTTTGGGTGTTTAGTATTTCCATATGTGTTAGAATCAGATTGTCACTATCTACAAAAAAAATTGCTGGGGCTTTCATTGAAGTTGCATTGGCTCTATGGATCATTTTGGAGAGAATGACATCTTAACAATATTGAGTCTTCAGATCTATGAGCATGGCATGTATCTTTCTATTTATTTAAGTCTTGAATTTCTCTCAGCAGTGTTTTGTAGTTTTTATAAATTGATCTTGTAGGCTGCAGCCTTGCTAAATTCACTTACTTGTTGTAGGTTTCTTAGAATTTTCTTTATAGATGGTCATGTTATGAG